ATTTACATAGATAAAGCCCTTCTTAAAGTGTGGGCTGTAAAGTGCTGCCAATTTCGGAATCTCTAATTTCACTTTTGAACAGTTTCATTTTGTAAGTTGGTGAATGTTGCCATAATCCTTGCCTTCAGTTGATCTTTGGTGTTACAAGGATTTTTGTTGGTCCAGCTCAATTTTGCCCCACACATAATAATCAAGTGTGTTGCAGTTTGGTGTATTAGCTGGCCAGATTTAAGGGGTGTGGTTGTCTCACATAGTCTTCCTGCCGTTATCCTCTTAATCTAGGGCAACAATACCTCCTCAAGACACTTGCTCTAATCCTCCGTGCTGAGTGTGTAGCCCTCGACAGCAGATTCGGGAGTTATTTTCTTATCAGAACGGAGTGAGTTTTGCGAGCTGCTATACCTTCGTAATCACTATCAGACTCATCCAACTCTTTATAAATCCTCTGCACTATCACCCAATCGCTCTGAAATTTTTGTGTTGGAGATTCCGGTACGAATGCCAAGCACATCAACATTCCGTTTTACAAATTTCCGGCGGAGCGAATTGCGTCATGGTGCTCTTTTTCTCACAGATGGTTCCCCATTGACCATATTATACTATGCAGTCAACAAAATCAGAACCTATCAAGGTGCATACGTGAAATTAAAAAAAAGTATATTGAATGGGGACTATTTATCCATCGTACCATGTAAAATCTATTCAAAAATCTCCTCGGTAAAATTCTTTGAAAAGAGATATCTATTTTTGTCATGCACCTGTATTCCAAATCCAGTCCATAGGAATAATTCATTCTGATTATGTTTTCATGAATCATTAAAAATCAAACCATTTTTAATATTTAACCAGCATTTTCTTTCATCTTAATCAAAGTTGTTTTGCGATGCAAATATTACATACTTAAAACATATCTATTTTCAATCTTTATTTTCAATTTGCAGTATTAAGTGACAACTGGGATAAAAAGCTACGAAAATTAATATAAAATTAAAAACAGTAAAAATAATGTTTCATCTAATAAAATATAAAAATCAAGGTAATGATATTAAAACTAAATCCGTTTTTGATGTCAACTCATTCTCTCGACATTACAGGATGTTTATTTATTATAACCCGTAAGACACGCAAACATGTTTTCTTCCTTTCTACCGTTTAGCACACATTGCTAAATTTTATTCATATTTGTAATTATATTTGCGATTTGTTTCTTTCCCTTGAATCAAGTTATATATTATTTATGAGGGATATTTTGTACAACTAGAAGAAAGAGAAGATGGTGGGAACCTGTCTAATAATGTCAAAAACAAATTTTATCTCATCTGGCATGAGCTCGACAAGAAAACAAAAACTATACCTTAGGATATTATGATTCTATTTTCAAAGAATTTGTTTTAAATGAAGTTAATTGTGCAGAGCGTTCCAGCCCATAGTATATGTACAAAAACAGAACTTGTGAGTTTATATTTTCTGTCCTTGGTACCATTTTTGTGTAACTGTAGTGTCTTTGAGCACTAATCCAAATGTAGATGATGCTGCGGATATTATAAGTAAATGATACTCAATAGTATGATGCTAGGGTTTGTATTTGTATAGTGTAGTCGGCTATTATTTAGATGTACCCAGGTAATCGACCATCAATTGCTCTACTCTAACTGAACACCGTTTATTCTGCCATGTGGTTGTTTCGAGAAACTCCTTTTGATTTATACGATGGTGTTGCTGTGTAAGTAAAAGGCTGACTATATGAACGTGTGCACTTATTTCTTGCAAGTAACCAATACCCAGGTAGAAAAGCTTTGGATACATCTGATCCGTGTATTTCTGACCGAATATTGCCCTTATACAAGGCCCAATCGCCAGAAGACACGTGAAAGACTTATTCACGATATTTCCGCCGTTGTACGCTCGCTCCGGCCTTCTTTATGTGAATGAAATTTTGAATAGAACCCTTTATTTCCTCAAGGAGACATGTACCTGAGAAGAAAAGTATTGGTTGAAGAAATCTAGTGACTTGACTCTACCTGACCACAGCAGAAGTAAACAAAAAACAAAAACGAATCAATTGGAGAGTTAAGTTGAAGGGAGATAACTGAAACTGAGATAGCCGGAAAAGTCATGGCACATGGAACTAGAACAATCTACGCTAGGGAAGAAATAAAATATTCGGTTCGAAATTCCAGTCGCCTGAAGAAGGTCGGGGCGTAAAACAGCTGAAACGTCGTACATATGACAACATAGATGTGGGCAACTGTTTGAACAATGTAAATAATGCAAAAAATTCCAGTATCTCATTTCAAAAATACAAATGTTTATTCTTTATATACCGGGGGTAACAGCAAAAATGTCCCAATCGTGTAAAAGCAACGTCGTCTATTTGTTAAATGAGGATTTGGAATTTTGTATCTTAGAAATGATTAAAGATATCTTACTGGAATTTCAGGAGTTTTTTATAAATTTCTTTGAATCTACTTTGAGTAATAAGAATGTATAATTACTCTCTAAGCATAACAGAAGTATCGATCATAAACAAAAATGATATGTTCGTCATTTCGTTAATTATCATAGGATCGGAAGATCAGGAAGAATTTATTCAATTTATTCATATATATATATATATATATATATATATATATATATATATATATATATATAATTCCAGGGTCATTTCTAAAATTATTCAAGATTACCTTCGCCGTCTCTAACCTTCTAATTTTATTTCCTGGTGTAACAAGTTGCTTCACAGGTTTCACGTATGATTTCATTTTCAAGTCTTTTTTTTAACTGGCCATTGAACTGTCATAGTTGAAACTCTTCTCTCAAGTGCAGAACGTCTTATTGAATGAATAGATCTTTTGTAATTGATCTCTTTAGATTTAAGTTGAAATTATAATCGCTCTTGCTATTGTAACCTCCTGGTCCATTTTTCCCTCTACTGTTCCCAAAATTATTTCCCGTTCTCTTGATGGTTCTTGAATGGATTTTGAAGATAGAAGCCAGAGTATGAATGTTGGTGCCATTACTGAAGGCCTGAATGATCTTGTTCCTTTCATCATCGTTCATTTGGTAAGACAGTGGGGCTGACACAAAACGATTTCAACCTGTCCTCTTTCTAGCTGAATATCTCACTTGAATTCTTAGGGCAAATGAAGCAGAGATGGTTAAATGTCTTATCTGAGCATCTGGTAAAAGCAAACACAATTAGTTTAGTGAATTTTTAGATATTAAACATTTTGTTATAATTATACTGTTACACGATTTGGACAATTTTGCTGTTACACCCGGTATGTAAGTACGGATGAGTCAGCATGGGGGTTTTGGTAGTACGCGGCAGAAGTACAGACCAATCAGAATTCGTCAACTTGTTTATGACGGGTCACTACACGACGATCATGGTTCTCCACAACGTCCTGTCATTTGTAGCTTTTAGCAATGTTTGTCTTTTTGCTATCTCCCCGAATCACGAGCAGAAATCAGCGGACAACTGACACCCTTTCCTCTCATCGCAACATATACCACCATCTCTTGCGAAATACTCTCCTAATTAAGACTTTTGGTTTGGAGATTGGTAGAACGATAAGATCATATACATACGTGTGCGAGTGGTAAATATATAAGACTATATAGAAAAGTCTTTGCGCCAAAATCTCATCCAAACGTTACTTATATATAAGAATAACTTTTGAAAATATATTTTTGCGTGACTATTTCTCATGTAATTTTATTCAGTGACTATATTTTATGTTTAAAAATAATTTATAGATCTTATTGCTATATCTCTATATTGAATTGCACCCATATAATACGAGGGTGAGCTGAAAAGTTTGTAAGCCGATGATAAATAAGGGATTCAAGAGCTGTAAAATATTATACGCATTAATTTAAACTCTTCTAATTAGTAACTGTATTACTTGTTTTAAGTTAAACTGACATCTGAGTTTTCAAAGAAGATTTCAGTTATGACTAGTAGCGACGTCTCTTGAAATGGACAAAATATGGCATCCTGTTCTTAACATTTACCGGCAGAAAAGGGGCTTAGAATCCAAAGACATTCATGCTGATATGATTGCTACATTAAGGAATGCCGGTCCAGGTTTATCAAACAGTACAAAAGTGGACTGATGAATTTGGTTAGAGGAAAGAGGTTGATTTTTGTAGACCAAGTTCTGAATGTCCTGCCGCTATCAAGGAAAATATTAATAATTTTTCCTTGAAAAATGTTTATGTAATTTTACTCAGCTATTTTATTTCCTTTTTCAATTATCATTCATAGATCTTGTCTGATCTTTGTTGAATTGAAGCGATTTAATAAGTCTTTATTGTGCATTCTGAACGCGTTTAAAACGTAAGAAAAAAATAATGTCGCTTTCCTTGTGAATGAATACCAAATAACATATAAACGAAGCCTGGTAAATAAACGAGGTTATTATATTAAAAAAAAACAAAAAACAAAAAAGAAACTCCAAGATATAAACGCATGGATCTGTTAAATGATTTATGCATAATGGTTCCACTAATAATAATCTAACATAACACTTAAATGACAAAAATCATCAATTGTTTAAAGAAATGAAAACCATTTTGCGCTTACCGTGCCGATGGATTCAAAGATAAATTCTTTGTTGCTGCCAGTTTTGTGCCTATCGGCAACTATGCTTATTTTCAATAAATATAGACTGCAGCTTTACAGCTAAATCACTCACTTCATTGCTAGTAATTAACACTCTTTATTAGAAGCTTATTGATAGTCTCCTTGTGAATTGTAATTGAAGCGGTATGATGCTGAGAATGCCATGGACGGAATATATCAGCAACGGTGAAGTTCTATAGAAAATAGAAACAAAAAAGTGGAGACATAATGAAGAAAGTCGGCTTGGAAAAATTGATACTCACAGGACAGACTGAAATCAAGATAACCAAAGGAAAACAAAGCATAATATACTTATCGAGCTTGAGGAAATGGATTGCAGAGAGACATTATTTAAGAGCTAAATTGTGGAGACTCATGGCCGCCAACGTTGTGAGGGGACACGACACATAGCAGAAAAAGAAGAAGAATAAAAAGAAGAAGAAGAGAAAGAATAATAAGAAGAAGATGAGGAATAAGAAGAAAAGAGGAAGAAAAAGAAGACGAAGAAGAAGAGAAAGAAGAAGAGGAAGAGGAGGAAAAGGAAGAAGAAGAGGAAGAAAAAGAAGGAGAAGAAGAAGAGGAAGAAGTGAAAGAAGAAGAGGAGGAAGAAGAAGAGGAGGAAGAAGAAGGAAGAGGAGGAAGAAGAAGAGGAAGAGTAAGAAAATAAAGGGGGAGAAGAAGAAGAAGAGGAAGAGGAAGAAGAAGAAGATCTACTGTAAAGGATTATGTTGACGACTGTCACTAACTTGAGAAACGAAGGTGGGTGCGAAAAGATTTTTTCTAAATCGAGAAAGATTATTCGGCTGCTAACTTTAGAAATAAACCGATCTGCCTTATAGTCTATCATTTGACATCACATGAAATCAGTCTGTCGTTTAGATAGGCTGATTTTAACGGATAACAAACAATAGACTTAATGGTTCAAGGTCATGAAAAGATTCTGGAAAAATACATCACTTTTTCTGGTCTACCGTACACAGATATAAACACAGATATCACGATTTTTGTCTTAAATAATTTCAACAGTTGAAACACTTACACTTATGACACGCCCTGCTATATCTATCGTGTCGATTCACCCTGATTTCTTCTTTGCTCGAAATGAAACAAAACATAGCTCAGGTGCGAAGAAATAATATAACATTTTAAATGTTTTGCTACGAATCAACTTCTTTGTTCAAAATTCATCCAATGTGAAGATTCGACAATAAAAAATGTGATTAACGCTACATGTAAGAAAAGTAATTATAAATATTTTGTACAAATGCCTCTTCAAACCGATTTCGTCTAAAATATGTAGATTGCCGAGAGAAATAAATGCTGAGTCTACTAGAAAGCTTGAAACCATATTTCCCTCTTGATTACAGAACACCAAAAGTTTAGTCTGCAAAATAGAATTTATGACCATTTTAACTAAATTACTAACATACTTCTTTTATCATTTGAGTGAAGCAATAAAAAGTTATGGCTTGGCTACGATATCCTGAACTGATTGTTGATTTTAGTTATCGCTATGGGAATATAAACTTTAGATGAAAGAAAATGGGGAAAAGCTGTTAAATTGTACGTTACTATTTCGAATAATGATACCATATTAAATAAACAACAGAAACAGAATTACCCCCCATATATATATATATATATATATATATATATATATATATATATATATGCAAAGATTTCCTACTATTACTTTCCATAAAATGCAAAGCTATTTTTCCTAAATGGAATATAACATGATTTTATGATTTCTTAATAAAAATTGACTATTATTATTATTTCTTATTAAATGAAACTCATCAGCATGAATGTTACTCAGACATGTTATAACCTGTAGCATGCATATATATATATATATATATATATATATATATATATATATGATTAATAAAACTATAAAATTTGTCATTTAGCTGATTGATGTTATATTCAGCATTTCGACTCAGAGTTTCGTAGACGGACATTCTAGTAATCGTTCGGTCCACTCGTCAGGAGGTTTCAAAAATTGACTGCTGATTGTCTAATTGTCGTTATTTTTCTATTGAGTTAAAAATAAATTATTATTTTTTGTTAACCCTTTGCGCTCTGCGTTTTGAACAATTTTGCCCTTCTGCCTGAGCCCCTGAGTCAAGGTTTTACGATAGATATAAAAATAATTACAAGTGTTTTCTCACCTTTCAACCGGTTGCTGGACATTAAGTCATTTTTCTGTTTAACCGCTGGTTGGGTCTTACGCCATTTTTCTCTACCACTGTTTAACCGCTGGCCTTTCGTCATTTTTCTCCACCACTGGTAAAGCGGTGATCAAGGCTCAAAGGGTTAATTATTTCACCCTATGCTAGTCGATAGTGCCACTAGCACTGAATGGGTGATTAATTGTGAGATAAAGACTAATGAAAAGAAACAAATAATAAACGAACAGGTTCTAGGACTCAGAAGATGATGAATGACATTGAATTTAAATATTTCAAGACTGGAATTGTCAGGAAATAAAGGAATCAAAAGAGACTTCAATAGGTGAGAAAATAAACTCATAATTCTACTCACGTTTATATCTGGCTATTTTAACAGTAATAACGATGAGGCGTAAATGCTACTCTAATAGTAAGCTTAAATTCATGTGATCAAAACACCAAGGAATAAAGCTTATTATAATAATTGCTAAGTAAATATTTATAGAAAAGACAAAGGGAAATCTGGTTCCAGCGGTGGGAACGATTGACGTTGAGACGCCAGGTCAGGATCAATTACAGACCCTACATTAGATTTTGTTGAATCTCGGGAGATATAGTAGGAACATCTGACCAAATATGGCCGCAATATTCCGCAACACGGACGAATATTAGATTTATAAACATGTTAGATGAATTATGACCAGAAGAACTGTCTGGCTCAACACAATGAACTAACTTTCCTAGCAATAGACCTAGTAATTAATTCAATATAATTAACTCAATATGAAAGGTCAACTTTATGTTAATTGAAAACGCGTGACCAAAAAAAGTTAAATGAGTTGTTTTTCTGGAGTTTAGCATCAGCCATCTTGACGGAAGGTCAAAAAGGTTGTTTATGTTGATTAAAAGATAATTTCGTTTCTTGAGGCTTAGAAATTAACAAGCAATTCTTTGCACCAGGTAACAACTGATTGGACGTCATTTTTGAGATGATCTGATAGTTTTAATTTGCTGGACCTGTTGGAGTTTTCTTTTAGTTATTTCATCTCAAGCTAAGATGCAGTAGTTTTGTTCTTTTGTTCGCAGACTGTGATCCTTGATTTGACATGCATAAAAACAGTACTTACTCGGTGTTTCTGCCTGTTTCTCTTGCCTTTTCATACCTTATGGGTATTATCCAAGCCTTATTTGCTCATTGTGTGTCTAAATATATTCAGCTATCTCTTTCTATAGAAGCAGTTAGTAGAGTCGTTACTCCCATTTTAAAGTGGTATTCTGATGTTATTTTCAGCAATCGTCGACAGAACCAAATACGTCATGACGCTTCAGTGAGGAAACTACCTATTATTCACTGGCATACAGAAAATATTATATCACATAGCAGTCTTGCACCCTTTTCCTTGTTTCTGGATTCATTTTCAAATTTCTTAATACTTTGCTGAATTTTTGAAAGTCATTTTTCGTGGTCTCTATGAGCCGTCGGCTTTCTGGATTCCTCTTCCGTTCTTTATTGCACTACCCAGATTTGTCGCACGCCCTAAAATCTTGTTTTATCTTATAACAGTGAATAATGCCTTTCTGTTTTTATTTTTAATTTCTGCGACTTGCTTGGTCCAATGTGATTTTTTTTTCTTAATCTGGAAATAACACTGTAATATGAGTAGCATATGCTATTAATGCTGTATTATATTTTATATTTCTACTACATTTAGGTTCACAACTGATTACAAAAGCTTCATACGCTAGGTATTGTTTATATTAAATAATACCAAGATTGTTTTAATGGATATGAAGGATTATTCCTTTTTATTTGAAAGAATCTAATTTGATGTATCATATTCATTACACATAATTGAGTATAATTTAAAAATGAAGATATTTGCATTTTTCTCCAGAACGTTTCACATACAGATGTTGTTTTTGTGTGTACATATCTATCTTCTCTATCTATCTATCTATCTATCTATCTATCTATCTATCTATCTATCTATCTATCTATCTGTGTATTTAAATTTCAAAAATACCAAAATCTACATCTATTAATATGATAAAAAAAATTCGACATCTATCTATCTATCTATCTATCTAAATACACACACGCACGATTTCTTTTTGAATTTGTAGGTCTGATGAATTGGATCGTAATTACGATTCAATGTAATAAATTATAACCATGGAATATTAGTGTTGATTTTTTTTACTATATATATATATATATATATATATATATATATATATATATATATATATATATATATCGAATAAATGTCAGTTTTATGACGTGACTGATATTTATAAAGGAATTTTTGCATGTTTAACATTTTTAGGCACTTCGTTGAAACTTTAATTTGTCATAATAAATTATAATCACCAAATGCACACAAAACGTAGCAAAACAATTATTTTAATTAAAATTGAATATTATGTCATTATTGTAGAGTAGGAGAGGCAGCCGTTTTCATACGGAGAGATGTCCGAAAGAACAACACCGGAAGCCCATTCATGAAATGGAGTAACCCGGCTACATCCAAGGCGTGCCACTGGTGTGAACATCTCAAATATAAACAAGGCTAGCGGAAAGCCTTGAAATGTGGACAGCTTTTAACCGTCAATCAAGCACTCTGCAATTGTAATGACAGCTTACACACAAATCCTAAAATCAAGTTTCATCTCCATATTCTTTTCGAAATAATTCCAACATTGTTTTTGTGGGATGCGACATAATAAACAACATCCAGAATTGTCTTTCAAATATCCTTCTACGTCAATTTTCAATCGACGCCTGGTCAGAAACACCAAATCGTAACTTAATCAAACGAGTTTGAAGCCCATTTTTATGATGGATTAGACACGTATTTCATGCATCAGTTTTAGCCAAATTCAAAGATGCTCACTTGAATCGATCAGTCTATTTACTCATACGACAATCCTGTGATGAGAATTTGGTACCTTCGAAATAATGTTCTTTTTACCTTTCAGTTGATGCCACAAGTTGTTCTTGCTACACCTGGCCGTTTACTTATTTTTCTGCTTCAAATCTTTTCGCTGTGATTATATTTTTGTTCCATTGGTATGTTTATCCGTTTCACAATTGATATTATGGCGAGTATAAAGTTGAAAACAAAATTAACGTGTTGAATTCCCAAGACAATAGTATCACAAGATATTCTAATTTCAGTTTATAAAACGAAAACACATAAACAAACAAATCAATAAATGAATTACGGTTTCATTCCAAGATATTCTCTCTCCAAAAGTTGACCGAAATACCAAACAGGAATTACTTTTGGAATCCATTTTTGGTGAGGTAATAATTTTTCAGCACTTCTCTTAGAAAATGCAAAACAAATAATTGAAGCAAATAACAATCATATGCCTATTGTCCTCACAATCAATACGATAATCTTAGAAGGCGGAAAGACAGAATCAATGTTTCACATTATGAAGCATTAATGTCTCATGAGAATGTTCTTTGCAGCGATATAAATCCGATTCTGTCCAGAAGTCCAAATGCAGAGACGAATATAGAATATTGTTTCTATTGCTGGCAGAAACAGTCATCTGAAAAATTAGTGGAATAATTTCTGGTGAAATCTTCTGTGACCCATTAAGACTGGTGAATGATTATGCTGGTGAATATAATCTCAGCGTACTTGAGATGGCTGGGCGAAAATTGCCCGGAACCCGTTGAAATCATTGTTTCAACAATCTGCACCATTTTGTGAAGTAGATCTTGATAGCCAGAAGCAAATTGTCTGCAATTCCATTACACTATGCTCTGATTAATAATTGACGACTTCTATTTTCTTTACACTAAGAAATACACACACACGCACACACACAAATATGCAGATAGTAATATATATATATATATATATATATATATATATATATATATATATATATATATATATATACGCATATGTATGCTGAAAAGGTTAACACACGCACAGGCCTTTGGAAAATACGTGAGGTAATGTCAATTAAATATTTTTCCACTGACTTCTTAGGCACTGATAATGTCTAAGTAAAATATAATATATTTACGGTTGGGGATAGGATAAAAATTGGATGATCATGACAAGAAAATTATCTTTCCCCAAATCTATCTATCTATCTATCTATCTATCTATCTATCTATCTATCTATCTATCTAAAGCTTGTTCATGATCTATCTATCTATCTATCTATCGATCGATCTTTAAAAGCGCTTATATCTATCTATCTATCTATCTATCTATCTATCTATCTATCTATCTATCTATCTATCACAATGTATGCATATCTATCTATCTATCTATCTATCTATCTATCTATCTATCTATCTATCTATCTATTTATCTATCTATCTATCTATCTATCACAATGTATGCATATCTATCTATCTATCTATCTATCTATAGAAGAGCTCATATCTATCTATCTATCTATCTATCTATCTATAGAAGAGCTCATATCTATCTATCTATCTATCTATCTATCTATCTATCTATCTATCTATCACAATGTATCCATATCTATCTATCTTTAGAAGCGCTTATATCTATCTATCTATCTATCTATCTATCTATCTATCACAATGTATCCATATCTATCTATCTTTAAAAGCGCTTATATCTATCTATCTATCTATCTATCTATCTATCTATCTATCTATCTATCGAAGAGCTCATATCTATCTCTCTATCTATATGTTTTTGGTTTGGTTGACAAAAACTAAAACTGTATTTTATACTTTTAATTATATTCGTGTAATTTGTGCATATGTTTTATATTTCAATAATCCATATGAATGAAGAATTAATTTGTAATGGTTTTTCCCAGTTTTATTTAGCTGAACAATTTGAACAATAAAATGAATTTTAAATATAAACTCATCTTTGTTCATATTTGTCCAATTAATTTCATATAAATCTTTACGTGCCGAGAATTATGCAATTACACACATTTATCAAATCACTTCATCTCAGGATCGTTAAGGACACATGTTCCCAGCTTCATAGAATTTCCTGAGGCAAGGCAATTAATTGGCGCTTCCTATCTATTCTCTAACAAAAGACGGTGGCTCTTACTCTGGTGATATTGGATTAATCCCTTTCTTAACCTATTGGGAGACATAGATCCATGCCTTTCTCAAGGGTATTTGTTACAGGTAAATACAAGCGATCAAATGCGCGATTTAAACACTGGTTGCTGCTGCTAAATTTTAAATCGACTTCACGCAACATAAACTCACGCGCGAACAAACATAGTCCAATACATCAACCACATTTTTTATTCGGATTTAGAATATAATGATGTTATATTTTCGACTATAACCTATTTTCATACAAAAGAGCAAGATATAAAGTTTACAACGTCTTCACAATAACTAATCTAAAATTGTATAAGACATTCTTAAAATATTTAGACTGTTGAATAAAAGTTTGAAAATAGAATGACCATTCATTATTGTACTGTTTCCTCAGAAAAGATAAGAAAAATGGGAAATATAATTAAATATTCGAGTTGAATAAAATAATACAGATTAGTGTAAAAGTAAACAAGGTGCGATAAGCAAATTGTCGCCATTTATATTTTTAATTTCCGGTATACGCGTTGTTTGTTTTAGATTTTGCCGAGTGCACAATAGGGTCAGTTGGGCACCGTCTGTGAGAAAAAGAGCACCATGACGCAATTAACTGCACCAGTAATTTGGAAACGACATGCTGTTCTGTTTGGTATTTATGCCGGAAATACCAATACAAATATTTCAGAGAGTTGTGGTGTCAATGTGAGTGCAAGGGATTCGGAATGTCTTGGATGATATATCCAGTCATCATGGTTTTTTTGATTGATTACTAGTGATGGCAACGTTCTGCCTCCATTCATCTTCCCTCAGGTACTCAGACTAAATTTCTACATCAAGTGCATTGAGGAGGTAGTGCTGTCCTGTGTCAAGAGGGTGGCTGCGCGAAGACCCTATGTCTGGCAACAAGGCTCAGCACCATGCTGCACAAGCAGAAGAAACTGGCTGTCAGACAGATTTGCGACCACTCCACACGTTACATCTGGTCACCTAACTCCCCAGACTGCAATCCCCTTGATTATTATGTGTGGGAAACAGTTGAGGGAAAGGTCAACAAAATTCCTTATAATACCAAAGGTGAACTGAAGACAAGGATTATGCCAGCGTTCTCCAAATTAAACAAGGAAACTGTCCAGAAGAATTGCATGAGATTACGAAGTCGTCTGGAGGCCTTTGTTAAAGCCAATAGCGATTTTATTGAATAGATTTACTCTTTACTATTTCATGATATTTTTTTGTAATTTTGGTAAATATATCAGTTAAATGAGATATCGCTGTTATTTTCATTTTGTGCGTAATTTAGACAACAATTTATACATCGTACCCTTTATTGTTTAATACAATTTATTTAAACTTATACATATTTTCAATATCATGCATATACACACAAATACAATTCATATAGATAATAAATATTAATATTTAAAATTTTTACAAGTTCAGACTTTTTTAATTTGTATCTGACGATTGCGATGTGAGTAAAACTCAGATTTGTAGCAAACAATGAGGAACAATAGCATATTTATTATAATCATTATTTAGTACATTTATATATATATATATATATATATATATATATATATATATATATATATATATATATATATATATATATATATATATATATATATATATAGAGAGAGAGAGAGAGAGAGAGAGAGAGAGAGGGGGAAGTAATTCAAGTATTTGCAGCCACATATTTAGGGAGCCTACAAAGTAATCAGTTGTAACGTAATATAATATCATCGTTGGGCGAGAAATTTTCATTCATGTTTCACACATATCGCTACATTAATTTAGCAACTTCAAATCTGGAATAGAAAATTATTGTGAATAATCTTGAAGAGCATTAATAATGTGCAGACCCCAATCTCTACCAAAGAAGAAACACACATAGAAAACTCATTCAAAAACCTATAATATCCTTATCACTTCATCCATGACAACAAATATGTTGGAAAATCAAAAGAAAACTGTTAAATCCATCACTTCTTGTCATTGAAGTTGTACAGTATATACGCCCATCTCATGCCATAACAATCTAATCACAATCTTCCCAAAATATTGAATGTTATTTGCTCACTTTACTTTTCACGAGATTTTGATTTAGGAAACTGTGTCCTCCACATGATTTCACTGATCTATCAACAACCTGATGAAGGTTCATCATATATATATATATATATATATATATATACGCGCCTGCACATACGCACATACGCACAAACACGCATATATATATATATATATATATATATATATATATATATATATATATATATATATATATATACCAATTTAGGCTACTATTGTTCTGCAAAGGTGACGACCACATTTCAGCCGCATTAACTACTGCATACCTTTTGTAACTATTTCATTATCAAAAATAAGGACGGAAACATACACAATCATATATATACATACACAAATATATATGTTTGTGAGCGTATAACTTTTCTTTCTCACACACGCATAAACAATTTGATACTATTCAGGCATCATTTTCATAAGAAACCAATAAGGATGGTCAATATTGTGTGTGGAAAGATATATTTTTATATACTTTCGTGAATTCACATTTCATAGTAACGTTTATTCGGACGCCGCTGACTGCAATATTCCAACACTAGCGCACATACTTCTGCATATGAAAACCATCTAAGCAATATCTGAAATTAATTTGACAGAGTTAAAAATAAAGTTACATCAATTCCTGTAGAATTGTCGTTCATCATTTCAAGCTTTACAGCTAAACTCCAGAAGGAGTGGCAAATTAAACCTTCGACATTAATAGCGTTAGAACTTTTCAATTACCTTCCTTCTCATCAAATACTATCTAAGTTTCCAGAAATTTATTACGAGACAAGTAATTTGCCGGAATTTCAAATTCTTAAGAAGATAATTAACTTTCTCAATTCCCACCCAAACTGATGTACAATTTTTGCACTGAGAAAATTTTGAATTAAGAAACTATTGAAAAATATAATTGATTTTGTCTTGGAACATTCAACATTCAAAGTAAACGTTCATCTGTAAGCAAATGAAATGCAAAGGTCAAGCACGAAATTTCGGTTGAAATGGAATTATATTTATGTTTTATACATTTCTTCTTAATGATTTGAATTTTATCAATGGATTAATTTTTTAACTGGAAATAAAGTATTTTTGGAAATGTTCCTTGAAGAGTGTTTGATATCTGGAGCCAGAATATAAAGTATAAAATGTTACTCATTTTACACGAATGCATTAATTTCTGTTTTCTAAATAAAGTTATTTACACTACTCCTGAATACCTCGTGTGAGAAATGGTGATGATTTATTGGCCAACTTTATTATTTGAAGGTTGTGGTGGTCAACTGATAGGAATTCTGTATATACTGCTTCCATTCATGAGTTGTCAAATGTTAGTACATTATTTGCAGTATTCGGATTTTGTCCTCATCTTTGTCGCCATATTTATTACAACGTTTCGGCCGTTGTATGATCAGGCCTTCTTCAGGTGGTCGGAATGTTGAACTTAACCCTTTATTTCGCTCACTGGGGTAGACTGTTCTAGTTCCACGTGCTATGTTTAATGGATGTCAGTTATAAGTTATCCCCTGTTAATTTCCCTCTGAAAGTTCTCCCCTGCCTTAACCAGGTATTGAACTCACGCTCTTTGGATCCTGTCTATATTTCTGAGATTATGTATTATGTACACTATTTACATTATTCGGACTATTGTCCTCATCTTTGTCGCCATATTACACTACCTATACACAGATGTTCTCAAAGACACATGGATACTTTCTGTCTGTGTGCGTGTGTATTATTACGAAATAAAATCAACATATTGATACATGTTTTTTAATCCTATCCAAGGTCTCGGCTTACATAAGTCATTATCAAAGATGACAATTGCATTACAATAGATGGTGATTTTCTTTCGTTTTTAATGATAACTAGCAGTAGAGCCCCGCGTTGCCCGGGGATGTAACAGTAAGAGATAGATCAAGTATCGACCATCATAAAGACTGAAAAATAAAATTGACAAAGATTATTGTTTAAGATTGTCTTGTAAATGGAATTTTTAAAGCATTCTGAATGTAAATAAAGAAAAAAGTGTGCAAGACAATAAGAAATACTACCTGCCGAAAAAAAAAGTGGATGTTTGTTTTATCGGCTGAAAAATGTAAGAAATCCGATCCCATATATAAAGGAACACACACACACACACACACACACACACACACACACACACACACACACACACACACACACACACACACACATAAACAACCTGGGTTTTTTAACCTAAGTCACTCCACGGAATCGCTAAAACATAGAGCATAGTCTGATGAAAAAACGCCAAAGTTTATGAAAACAAAATTTTATCGTCAAAATGCTTATTTTTTTATGAAGAGGATAGACTAAATTTTTTAATTATTTTTAAAAATTTTTCCATCTTTTTAGAATATTCTAAATTTTGATTTAAAAAACTTGTTTCTCTTTGTCGCAACAAGAGGTAGTAAATAACATAGATAATTTTAGCGCATTTTTTTTTGTATTTACACATTAATTTGGAAAATCTTGCAAAAATAAAAATAATTGTCAGATGTTAATGAAACTTTCAGAAACTATTCACAGATGATCGAAATTATTATAAATATTTTTTTTATTAAAGTCATGGCAGAAATATTTTTTTATATTTATTAACACCCCCATTTTTTATGAAAAACTCTAGAAATTCGAGACCATCGGTTTTAGTGATTACAATAGTTAAAAGCACAAGGCTTTGAAGAATGCAAATCATGTTTTTTTTTTTTTTTTTGGCCAACGTACCTGAAAATCAGCTGTGAATTGCAACATACAAAACTCAATAAAACAAATATATTATTTAGTTTCAAATGCTTTTATTTGTTTTAATTTGTTTTTATGAATATGGGCAATATTTTTCGAAAGCAAAAAATTGTTTCAATGAAAATTGAATTTTTAATACAATTATTTCTTATTTCTTTAATTTTAAAAAGATTTTAAAAAAATGTTTAAATTGAATTTAAAAAAATATTTTAACATTAGTTAAAAGCAACATCAACCTTTCAAAATGTCCGTGTGAGATTGTCATTGTCTAGCGCTTTGACCAATCAGATTAGCCATGGTAATTAAGAAATGTAATGTTTGTGTTTATAGTCGGACAGTAATTATCAAGTACGGAAGACCAACCAGAATACAATTTAGTTGCATTATTTGAGTTCAGCATTCTTCTCCGCTGTTAAGCCCTTTACTTTTGCGAAACACGTATGGAGAAGTTAATTTGAGTTTTCAATTTCAACTGAGAAGGGTACCTACAAGTAACAGTATCATCTTATGAAATTTAACTACTGCTAAACTTTAATTTATATGATCTTATTTTTATATTAATCTCAGTTATGACATTTTTCCATAAATGAAATATCAAAATTAATAATAAAATGAATGGAAATACAAATAACACAGTAAAATGTAATAAATGTACATAAAATTATAGTATTTTATGTACACTTCTGATAAAATTTCATAAGAAAGGTACCTAAATTAATTAGATACCTTCTTCTTATGAAATTTAATCTCACTATTAACAGTCTTATTTTTTAATTTCTTTATATTTTCCATAAAGCATCGTAAACGTAAAAATGAAAGCTAAGTACAAAAAATAAATAAATAAAAAATAAAAAATTAGAGCGCTAAAAGTTTTCCTTAAAAGTAACAAGGTAAATAATTTGTTCACTTAAATAATTTCACTTCCTTCCATCCGTAGAAAGTATTCTCCTCCCGTAAGTTATCTAAACGTCATGAATGTGCCTTTCGTCAATCGTCAAGCGACGCGAAAGTTTATGACCTGCTTTGTTTTATTTTCAAATTACATTTTTTCGGCGCAGAAGCTAAGTTAAGCTTGGTTCAAAATATTTTAAATAAACAGTATAATTTCTGTTTTTATTAAAATCAGTTTTGAAAAAATGATAATTGATTTTTAAAAGAATATCAAAGTAAGATTTTAATGTTTTTTATCAAATCGAAAAAAATGATTGAAAATGATTATCTGCCCTTTTTTTGGACAAAAAAAACAATATTTTAACGAAAATTTCAGACGTGCTAGGAACGATTAAAAAATAAAAAATACCCCAAAATACTTTGATCTTTCCTCTTTAATAATAATATGAACATTAGACGATAAAATTTTGTTTTCGTCAAGTTCGGCGTCTTTTTCATCATGCTATGCTCTTTTGTTTACATTTTCGTGGGTGAGTTCTCCCCCTTTCATTCTCACGATGTGTCTTAATCGTGTTTTCAAATTGATTTTATTAAAAAACAACTGTATTTTTCCCATTTTCGGTCGCGTTAGAACCACCACAAGGTAATTTTATGTAGTCCTGTGAAGTTTTGTTGAAATCGGCTAAAAAATGTAGGAAATTCGATCCAACATATAAACGTTACAGACACACACACACACACACACAACCTGCGTTTTATAATAAGTAAGATGTTATTAAGCTTATCAGACGATATGAAAAGAATATTTATTTTAAGTAAGTTCCTTTCATATTGTCTGATAAGCTTAATAATATTATCATTGAAAGACAAAAGAAAATCACCATATTGATACATGTTTAAATCCAATCTAAGATTTCGGCTTACATAAGCCATTATCAAAGATGACATTACTTTTCAATACATCAACGAATACACGGACTAAACAATAATGATAGTCTGTTTTTGTTGCATGAAAGATTTCAAAGCAACAACTAACTCGTGACGTCACACTTTACTACGCGAGAGTGAAAGCGAGAAGTATTAAGTATGGGAAGCCGTTGGTATAAACCAATTTCTTCTGTTATCAATTATAGGCATTTAAGAATTATTTGTGGAGATTTCGTAGTTTATTTTAATCATATTAGGTTTCAACTGTTTTATGTATATAGCTTCAAGAATTTTTAGTTTTTTTCTATTGTTTTCATGCTTAAGAAAAGTTGTGTCTTCAACAAGGATTTTCCGGAATGTTGATTTAAATGCCTAAAAAATTTTGAGTTATCATTCAAATGTAGAATAATAATATGGAGTAAGTTTTAGTTTACTGAGTGGTGTTATTTTCCTTATGCCGACTTCGAAGTTTCGTGAGCGCATCGTAGTAATGTCTTCACTTTTCAGGGCTTTTGGCTTGTCTTTGTTTGTCTCTCTATCTCTTTCTCTCTCTCTCGTTCTCTCTCTGTCTCTCTCTTTATATATGTATATAAGAGCAATTGCGACATGTTTTATTTTATAAAAGGAAAAAATGATTAGTTTGCGATAATTATTGCTGCATTCAAAATTAATTGCACCAATATAGAAGGAAAATGTACTGAATAGATTATTAGCACATGAACATAGATTTTAAATGATTTCTAAGTTGCACTCCATCATCTAAATAAAGCCAGATTCTTTATTTCATTGAATTTCCCAGTATATGGTTCCTGCATAATTTGGTGACTATTATAAGAAAATTTTATTCTTAGTAAATATTTATTTGGTGTCTTTAACAGATCGTGACGTTTTCATGAACTTTTACTTCCTTCCCTGGCTTAACTCTGATTTTTGTCTGTTACACCTTCTCATTTTAGGATTTTCTTTATTTGCATACCATTTTCTATCGATCGTTTCTGTGAACATTCATTTCCCTTGTTTCATTCACTCTATTTTTCTTTCATTCTCTTTCTTGATTTACTTTCTGCATTCTTTACTGATCGAGTATTTTTTCCTCAGAAGGTTCCAAGCTCCTTACAGTAGAGAAAGCTCCGCCCACAAGTATTCACCCATCCAAGTGTAACGGTATTGTTATACAATAAAGAACACAACTAAATCTCTCTTTTGTGTTCACTTTCTCGTTGGCGGTCATGGCTCTCCAGAACACCATGTCAGCGTTAGCTGTTAATAAATTTTGTGTTTTTGTTATCTCTCCTAAACCCATTTGTTGCCATCGATTTACTCAAGCTCGCTAGGTAGTTTTTGACACATTTTATTCAACTATAGACTTCATCAGCCACCGTTGGCAAGCTTATGTGCGGGTTTCAGTCCTTCTCTGAAGGAGCACTCTGTATAGAAGTGGGTTTGACAACTTTTCTTTTAACCTTCCGGGTGG